TTTATATTACGGCTGGATCTAATGGTTATTTTCATTATCGATTCATCTTATTATTTATTAGTCTGTTAATCATTTAGACTAAAGCCCAACCATTACTGGACAAAATGTCAGAAAATAGTTTTAAAAAAATGTTCAACACAATTTCCAAGAGCCCAAGTCAAAAAAAGTCTCCTTGATTGATGAACAGCACTTTACATTATAGCTCGGTAATAATATGATAATAGTAAAGCAATTAACTGGTTAATTTTCTGTAGTTAGACTAATTGATCATCATCATTTTATGTACTCAACTCACCCAAAACTGTCACCTCATTATTCAGTAAAATGGCCAAGTTGGAGGAGCTTGAGGAGGTGGACCTTAGCGGGAACATGCTGAAGACCGTGCCCACCACCATCATGAATTGCCGGCGAATGCACACACTCATTGCTCACTCCAACTCCATCGAGGTCTTTCCCGAGGTCTTGCAGCTGATGGAGATGAAAGTAAGACCGGTAGTCACAGCACACCTCTGTGCAACTGTACTGGATGTGCATGTTTGTTAGTATTCATGTATTTTACCTCTGTTGCCAGTGTGTGGATCTGAGCTGTAATGAGCTCAATGAGATCACTCTACCAGAGAATCTGCCTCCCAAGCTTCAGGAGCTGGACCTGACTGGAAACCCTCGTCTCAGTCTGGACCACAAGACCCTCGAGCAGCTCAAGTATGTCATTATTTCTCTGTGGGTTGTTTTGCTTTTGTTACAGTGCAATTCTACATCTGGCAATGTGACTGTAACCTACATTTTGCACATGGAGTATTTTATTCTTTTCTGCCAGTGTGTTTAAATTTGCTTTTTAATACTGTTTTTTGTTGTTTCTGTTAATAAAAAGTTAAAAACTGCCGTTGTAATGGTCCGCCCCCCCTCCCCCCAATTACTTTTATCTAATAGAATCTAACATTGTATGATAGAAACCACTTTAAGTAAATGACCTGAATAGAATACTGTTAGTACTGTAGCTTGTGTATTTTTATGTCTTTACATGAGACAGTGAATTTCATCTATTTCATGTTTTGTTTTTCAGTAATATTCGCTGCTTCCGTATTGATCCGCCTCCAGCCTTTTCAAATGAGGCGTCTGGTGGGCCCGCTGTGTGGAGTCATGGTTACACAGAGGCCTCGGGTGTCAAGAACAAGTGAGTTCACTTCAATCAATGATGGAAAAAAAACAACCACCATCTCACTCACACACATCAGTCCGGTGAAGCCTCAGTAATCCAAACCTCCTGAGAATGCACATTGTTAAAGCCAGATGACTCGCTCGTGCCACAACATATCTGTATGGGGCTACGCTGCCAATTTAATACTTCAATGTGAACTCTAAAGAAGAGATTCAAACAGTTGCACATGTTGTTTCCACATTTTCTTATGTGTAAGTGATATTCAAGAGGCTGGTCTTCTTTAATGGCGGAGGTTGTGCTGTACAGTCCAATGAATCACAGAAGGCATTGTCTTCATGGTTCAGTGTGTGGAGCAGTATGAACAATATGTGAACAGAGCAGTTATTATGTCTTTGAAGCCCTCATTCTTCGCTCATGGACATGCCTCAGTGATGGCCTTTTGTTTTCTTTCCAGACTGTGTGTTGCGGCTCTGTCAGTAAACAGTTTCTGCGGGAGTCGTGAGGCTCTGTACGGTGTGTTTGATGGGGACAGGAATGTGGAAGTGCCCTATCTTTTGCAGTGCACAATGAATGATGTGTTGGCGGAAGAACTACACAAGACCAAGAGTGAAGAGGACTACATGACAAACACATTCCTCGTCATGCAAAGGTACATTACAGGCTCCATGGGAATTTTAATCAGTCGTCCTCTTTTGTTACAAATCATCCTTAATATGTTACAAATTTTTTAGCACAAACTAGAATCTGCTCAATTTATTGATGGAGACTACACATTTTAAATAATCACTCTGTCCCCTCTTCTTGTGCCACCACAGGAAACTGGGAACTGCAGGGCAGAAACTGGGCGGTTCAGCTGCTCTGTGTCACATTCGCCACGACCCCACCGACCCCGCTGGCTGCTTCACACTCACAGCTGCTAATGTGGGCAAGTGCCAGGCCATCCTGTGCCGCGATGGAAAGCCGTTGTCACTGTCGCTGCTTCACAATGTTGGGCTTGAGGAGGAATACTGCAGGCTCAGGCAGCACAGGGCCATCATCACTGAGGTAGAGATCTTTGAAAGCATCCCAAAGTACACTGAAATCAATGGAGTACATCCATGTAAATATAATTTTAGATGTGCACTGCATGAGGGCTCTGTTGATGTTTATACTCTTTTCCACAGGACAACAAGGTGAATGGCGTGACCGATTCTACACGAATCATGGGCTACTCCTTCCTTTACCCATCAGTCATCCCTTGTCCCTATGTGCAGACAGTCACACTGACCCCCCAGGATGAGTTCTTCATTCTGGGAAGCCGGGGCCTTTGGGATGCTGTGTCTCACACCGAGGCTGTGGAGGCTGTTCGAAACGTCCCCGATGGCCTGGCTGCTGCTAAGAAGCTGTGCACGCTGGCGCAGGGCTACGGCTGCACAGACAGCCTCAGCGCTGTTGTGGTCCAGCTCAGCGTGAGTGAAGACTGCTGCTCCTGCTGCTGTTCTGAGCCTCCCCAGCCACCTCCTAGCCCTGGCTTGGGCTCCTATCCCCCGTCATCCTCTGCCATCAAGGAGCGACCATCAGATGGCTCCCTCCCCGTGCCGCCTTCCTCCTGCAGTGAAATCAGCAGTGAGATCAGTACCAGCGAGATGAGCAGCGAGGTGGGCTCCACGGCCTCGTCTGATGAGCCACCGCAGAGCTCCTTGGTGCTGCTACACGAGCAGCCCCACCATCCTCACCTTCACCTGCACCATCAAGCGCACTCGTTGTCCCTACAGCACCAGCAGGCCCACACAACCACCCAGCCCTGCCAGTACCTGTTCCCAGGTTCAGAGCTGCCCTCTGCCCGCAGCTGCTGTGCCCTCCATCCCGCCTGCTTAGCAGGGTCCTTCCAGAGGCAACTGTCCAGCGCCACCTTTTCCAGCGCCCTGTCTGACAATGGGCTGGACAGCGAGGACGAGGAGCCCATTGCTGGTGTTTTCTCTAATGGGAGCCGTGTGGAAGTTGAGGCTGATGTCCACTGCCTCAAAGCAGAGTCCTCCCCCCCGTCCTCCACCTCCTCCTCCTCCTCCTCATCACCTCAAACGTCATTACCCTCGTCCTCCAGCCAGGAGCGCGCCTTGCTGACTCTTCCCCCACCTCCTCCACCGCCATGCACGCCAGAGCCCCTGGAGGAAGAAATGAGCCTCGGTGAGGCTGAGAACGGGCTGGAGAGAGAAGAGTCGTGGCAGGGAGTCGGAGTAGGAGGTGGGGATGGAGGGAAGATGGCAGGCAAGAGGAGGGTTAATGGGTCGGTGGCACGCCAGGAAAAGAGTCACAATCTCATTGAGGTGGCTGCTGACGCTCCCTCTAAGAAGTCCGGGGGTTATTTCACAGCTCCGGCCCAGCCTGACCCAGATGACCAGTTCATCATCCCGCCTGAGCTGGAGGAGGAGGTGAAGGAAATCATGAAGCAGCATCAGCAGAAACAGCAGAAACCGCCTGGGACCGATCAGCCAACGGACTACTACGACACCCCTCTCTGAACAGCAACACCGTCAACTTACAGCCTCATCTCCCTACCAGCTGCAGCTTGCACAAAAGCCTACCATCAACCTAATCACCCTTGATTTTCAAACAAATGAGTTTCCTCAAGTGGCTGTACAATGCACATGAAAGAGTTTAATCATACTTTTTCTAAACAGCCTTTCTTGCTCTACACAGCCTCATCATTGAACCATGCACTGTAACCTGCTCCACCCATTTTTACCCAAGCAACTCGAGTGAAACAAGCAAATGAGCCCTTTAATGATATTCAACCCTCTTGAAAAACCCGTGGACACACTCCTGTGTCCATGTTTGTGCACTTCTCACAGACTGTGGAACGTTGTTTTTACATTAGACCACCAGCTGAGTACGTAATCAACACTAGTCTCTTTGCAATAGCATTAGCTCGCCACAACACTTGTTAATATGGATGACGAATCCATGGTTTGTTTGTTTGTTTTGTAAGAACCTACCATATCTTTTAATGTGAAAGCAGTGAAGTTGCTGAAAGAACTTTTTAAAAACAGACACATAATCTTTTTATTATCAGTGAAGTATGTCGAATGGTACGCCAGTAATACCACACTTAACTTGTTGTAGATAGGGCACTTAAAATACTGTATTTCTTCAGTAAATCATGGCTCTTGGCCTGTAAAATGGCATAGAAATTTTTTGTAGAAATTTGAATACTAACTCCTAGGAGTTGCATACTCTTTATGGTGACTCAGTCACTTTTACTAATCTTCTCTGAGAGAAATGGTGATTTTTTTCTCCAATGATTGTAAATAAGAGAAATGTTGTATACTGATGCTTTTTAAAGGAACTACATACCTGTATGTCGGTGAAGGTTTTAGTGGTGGGGAGGATGTGTGATTCACCAAGAGTTTGCTGTTATGGAGGTGTCACCCCATGCCCCTCTTCCTTACCTTACAATGTAGACCCACAAATTACACACACACACACATATATGTGCAATTGCAGGTCAGAAAACCCAACATTCCATATAATGACACAAAGAAAGTTGCAATGGTTTGCTCCACTTTGATTGATTGTGATGTCTTGTAGTCATCACTGTACTTAATGGACACTAACGACAGTTCTTTGCACACACACACACACACACACACACACACCTCCCTCCTACAGTAACCGTTATCACCGGCATGACTGTGTCAAGTTCAGTAATACAAACAAATATATCCACATGGAAAAGAGACAACACAGATGTTCCTGTCTTTGTTATAATAAATTTTAAATTTGTGAATATAAGTCATGCTGTCTGGGATTTCTTTAATTATAAAATATATTTGATATTAAAACGTTTATATTAGAGACTTCAGAATCTCAAAATAATTTATTTACAATAATATTTAGTTTGCTAGTGTTTTTACATTGAATGACCAGAAGGGGGCAATCTCATATAATGTTCTGGTCTATGGTATACATGGCTTGACATTTGGCATTAAATCTAGAAATCCAAATGTAGATATAGTCACAAGAACATTTAATTAAAAATGTTGATTTGTTTGTTAGTATTCACGTTTTTGTCATTGGAAACTTCAGAGTCTCTCACTACAGTTTCTCATTGGCACTCATGTTTGCCATGAAGACACTGCTGTCATTTCCGCGTTTCTTGTACTTCTTCTTCACACAGATGAGACTGACTGCTGTAACCACTAGCATTACCGCCAGCACAGACAGAGAAGAGGCAAGTGCAAGGGTGGTTTTATCCATGATGGAGCCCTTGTGCTGACAGCGGTCCCCATAGTACCACCAGTCATCACCCACCACACACCTGGAGAGCAGAGGAGAAGGATGAGGAGAGTAAAGTCAGACTTGAAGACATTCCCAGTGTTCATACAGAGCTGTATAGAAGGTGAAGGAAAATTGGTGGAAGGTAAATATGAGAAGAACTAAATCTAATGGGTGAAGATGAGATGGAAAACGGTTCACTACTGAACTGATATACTAGCTTTTATGAGGTTTCATGTAGGTGAGGTGCTGTTTTTGAGGATCAAATATTTGAAACCCACTAGCAAAACCAAACATTCACATATTTAATCCCAGAAGGCTCTTAAAGGAATAGTTCGACATTTTGGGACTTAGGCTCACTTTCTTGCTTAGAGTTGACTCTGTCCAAAGGTAACAGAAAGTTACTTTGCCCAGTCAAGAAATAGCTGCACACACAGTAAAACCTTTTTCACATTGTGTGTTTTGTTTTGTACATTATAAACAAACAAGATAAAACATGTTAATTAGCGAGCTTTAGAGATGCTGGGAGGATGATTTTGTTACCTTTGGCCTGGCTGTTTCCAGTCTTTATGCTAAACTGTGACACTTCACTTTAACCCCACTATTTATTACAGTACATAAACAAAATAAATTGTTCATATCACATAATAGTGATAGACAGATTAAAGAACATTGGTGTTTGTTAATGTGCAGTGTTTTCAACACTTCTATCTAACAAGACCTTATATCTGCTTACAACCACATTATAGCGTGTTATAAACTATTTATTAAATGTTAAAGTGTTACTTGGTAAACTAAGCTAACTGGTTAACTGGCTGCCAGCAGTTCATTTCCCAAATGTTAATAACAAAATCACATAGGAATAATGTAAATTAGAACAATTTAATTTTTTAATTTGATTTTAAAATTTGATTTTAAAAAGTCAGACAGGATTGTTAAATGTGCAGTTTTGTGAGCTCAGTCAAAAAGCACACACCTGCAAACACCCTTTCCATTGTTCTCCACGCAGACTCCATCATTCAGACACTGCACTTTGAGGCAGACATCAGAGGAAGCAGTGGTGACAGGTCGTGGGGTGGTGGTGGTTGACGGGGTTGACGGGGTTGACGGGGTTGACGGGGTTGAGGAAGGCAGAGGCTGGGTCACTGTCAGATTAGACACATCTGAAGAGGGATAGCAAGTGAGAAAGTGGTTAATTGGATCCAAGTGGAGTAGCATCAATAAACATGAATGATGAAATGAAAGGCAATGAATGGATCTACATCTAAAATCTACAGTCAATCGTGTGATTGACTGTAGATTTTTTCAGCATAGTGGGTATATGAATCATGGATGTAACCATGCATCACTGGTATGCATTTCACACACACGCACGGGTGGCAGAGATTAGTATGTTGCATACTAGTAATCGATATCTATGATGTAAGATGGATGTGGGCTTCACAAAAAATGATAACCAGTATCTTATATGTTTGATATCTTTGGACACACATTATGTTTTTATGTTGAAATTTGTGAAGTTCATTCTGTAATCTGGAGCTTTTACCCTCCATGGTGAGGAGAAAGATGGCGTCTCCTCCCTTGATAAAATCCCTGCTCTTGGCTCTGAGGTGGGTGAGATACGTTGGAGTGCCGGCACCAGGTCCTCGGAAATACTTGGACCCATCTGTATCTGTGACCTCAATGCCCACCTTGCGAGGGTCGTCCCAGAAATACATGTCAGAGTCTGTTTAAAGGTTGTATAAATATAGTATTACAGCAAAACAGCACTTTCATGATTTGTTTTGTAAAGTAGCATAGATTTGAAAATACACTGAAAGTACCTGTTGCCTTCATGTTGGGGTCAGTGGTGACACTGCGCTGGTTGGACATTTGCTTTTGGATGTGTGGGTGTTGGTCCATCAGCATCATGGTTATCTGTTTCCAGGGACATGGCCATTTCTGCCCTGTGTCCCCTTCACGAGCCACCAGATGAGCATAGGCTGAGAGCTCACCAGGGTAACCTGCCTTACCGCTGGGGTACAGCTCCATTTGGAAGGTGTAACCCTCTTTAGAGGTGAATGGGGGACTGAAAATAGCTGTGTTTGTTGGGGTGTTTTCCATAACGTGACTGAAGTTTTTCACACGCCATATAAACTCTGGGCAGCTTGTCTCAGAAAGGTTGATGTCATCCAGTGACAGTCCCCCTGTGGAGGGCCCAGAACCCTCCTTGGTCCCTTGAAAAACAACCCGGAATTTTGTTTTTACGTCTAGACTCACGTGGTGCAGTTGCCACAGCTCCTGAGGGGATCCTGTTACAGCACGAGGTAAAAAAAAAAATGCAATCTATAAAACACCAAGAGCACAATGGCCATATTTCACAAGCAAAATTGTTACAGTAGATTTTAAGCAATCATAGAATTTGGTAATAGTCACCATCTATGATCTTTATAAGGCGCAGTTTTCCATTGGGGTTAGCTTTGTCATACTCTCTGACATGGATCCTCAGTGTGTCACGGGGACCGGCGCTGTTGTAGTAGAAGAACTGCAGACACTGGTATCCTCTTTTAGGGTAAAGGAGCCTGCTCTCCAGCAGAGCTGTATCCCCAGTGTTGGCGGCGCTAGTGTTAAAGTGCATGAAATATCCCGAGCCTAAAGATAAAAATTTCCCTTTATTAATAATGTCAATTAGTGACATGATGATAAGAGGTTGGGTTATACAGGCCACTCGATCATATCACAACCATTAAAAGGTTTACATCTTAAAACAACACTCACATTATGATACTGTATGTACACTGAAACAATTTGTTTGCCATAATTGTTACCCCTGTCCATATTGGATGTGAAGAGATCCCCCTCTTAATACCAATTTAATGTAAGAGATTGGGGGACAAAATCTGCAGTCCTTGTTTTAAAATGAATTTTAAAGTTTAATATTTAAGTTCAGTGAGGCTCCATCTGTCTACGTTAAAAAAACAACTGGGTTTTACAGGACAGTGTTATCTTGCTGAGCAGTGGTGAGGGTATAATAATAACAAATAGGGAATATCATACTAAAAAAAACTTTAGAAGATACCTGATTTGTCTAACACAGACTGCTGAAGCCTTATATTAGCTTTGTTAGACCTTTGGAAAACTTTCTACACAGAACAAGGACTGAATTGTATCCACCTACACATGGTTTGAATTACGGTGGGGGATTGGGGGTTTGACCCCCCTAATTAAGACTTCGACCCCCCCAAAAGAGGCAAAAACAACAGTTCAGGGGGGTCTTTCTTACATGTAATTATAAATATTACAATATATTTCCCATACTCATGCCTTATATTCAAGAATCCTGAAGTATGATTTCTGACACCCCTAAAATGGACCGTACCATTTCCTAACTTTGACGTCAGTTGAACGTCTTGTCTGCCCACAACCCTAGCAGCGGCAGCTGCTCCAGTCCAGTCTGACACGCGCTGGTGGAGACGTTGTAAGTTAATGTCAGTAGTTAGCTATCTAGCTTCTTTAATACACTTAACTTTCCTACCTCCAGAGTTTCGTACGGGCAGCATGTGAGTGTTGTTTTACCGTAGACTTTAATTTTTTTTAATTTATCCTTTAATGCAACAATGTTCACAGTATCTGCACCACGTGCCATGTATATTGCTGTATTATGATTCTCACCAGTGCATTTGCCCATGTTAGAGTAGTCAGTTCTGGGCCCTCCAGCAGCTTCGGCAACCCTCTCCCAGTCTCTTGTATTATTTATTTTTTCTCCCTGGATCATACCACAAATGTTCTCACGTTCAAAGTCACATGAGTCCAGGAACGTGGAGCCCTGGGCTAGAAGAAATTTCATAACACATACACAGGTGTGACTTTGAACTGCTATAAAGTGATTGATTACGCAGTAAAGAGAATGATATGCTTCACATATTCCAATGTAGCAATAATTCAGAAGATAAGCTGTCTACCTGACAGCTAATATCAACATTACTAATAATAATTTGGTATCAATGGTGGTGCAAGCTGACACATCCCTTCTTAATTTACAGTATATAATAAAACACAGCTTGGTCGTGGGATGTTGATGCTTACTGCAGTTATAAAGGCGGTGCAGCTTGAGCAGATCACTGTCACTGAACTCCATACGCTGGCCAATGACATCACTGAAAGCAGGGATTTTGGTGACAATGGTGGGCTCAGTACCGTTGCGGAAGGCATTTTTACTGTAGTGCATCATGGAACCATAGTCATAGGGTACGCCCAAAGAACTGGAGGTGGTGTCATTATAGGTGTTAAAGTTGTGTTCTTTACCTGCAGATCGGACGTAAATAAAAAGGAGTCAGTTCATTTCATTACCACAGTGTCTTTTTTCACCCTCAAAATGTGGGCGTGGATTTCAGAGATGTTTGCTAGGATCACTCATAAAAGTTGCTTATCAACAGCCAACAGTTGTTCATAGACTTAGGTAGACTTACGTGGGTCAGTGCAGCTAAGATAAAAAGTGTGAAGTTCCTTGATGAGCAGATGTCTTTTGCTAATCTGTTAAGATTCTGCAGCCAGGAAAACAACGCATGTGCATGCTTACTATCACAAAAGCAATATATCAATGGCCACATGAAGTTCTTCCCTTCAAGTCCTACATAAAAAACCTTGAACACTGCATTAAGTGAAGTGATTTTTCTGATTCAGTAGAATGTAAATTTTGTGAAAAGCTTGTATAAATGTAATGTATAAAAAGCTACTTTACACTCCTCAATCTGACAAAATTATAATCATACACATACAAATCAAAGTCATGAAGCAAGCATGTCATAAATGACACGTGGGAACACAAATTAGTAAAATAATTTCTTTAAATTAATTATAATTTAGAGGCAGAGTATAGCAGTGAGAGATTCAGTACCCTCTGAGATGCGGTCCCACATGATATTGACATAATCATTGCGGTCTGCCCTGGACTGCTCGTGCCAGAAACCCAGAGCGTGCAGGAACTCATGTTCAATGGTGGCAATACGGTCACAGTTTGTCCCTATTGACAATACCTGCTTCCCAACCCGCTGGTTTCCCACAGAGGAGAAACAGCTTTTGGAAGAAAAAAACATTTTATGAACATCACGTGGAATCCACAATGTCTTTTCTCAATGACATTAGTTGAAATTTTGAAATACAGTATATAATGCGTTCATTCTTGAGAAAGTACAGCTCGTCTCTTCCCTCTAAAACAGACCGTAAAAGAATCAAAGTTCTTTTTGCCTTACCCGCCCCCTTTAAAGATGGAAATGTAGTTTGCTTCACCGCTCCAAGGCACAAAGTCGATGCAGGACTTGAGCCTGTACTGTTCAAAGGCCTTCAGAATCACACCTTTTGCATTGATCTCTGCAGAGAAGAGGATACACGTTGAAGTTGAAAACATATATCTTCGGAAAAAAAGGCCTCTGCTGAATTATTTAAGTCTGCTCACATTCAAGATTACCCATAAGGTGTAATGTAAAGGTAATGTCTGACTCAATGCAGCGGCTGAACATCAAACATACAGTATACGCCGAGTGGTCTATGTGTTCTGAGGTAAATTTAGATGACGTGTACACTTTTTGGGAACATTTTGGTTGCAAAAATGATTGTGTGCTCAACTGTAAAACAGATCCCACTGCTGTAAAAATATCACTATTACTATAAAGCATTGTTATAACACCAAATAATTAAATAATTTAAATAATAAATATTTGTGTTTTGTGTACTATGGGCATTGCATTAACAAATATATATAATGTATGTATGTACACACAAATACTTATTTGGGATTTGTAGGAAAAAAAAAGATTTTTATAGAAAATTTTAGGTGAATTCCAGGTGAATTGAATTGCTTTTCAGAGCTTACATATACTTTCCCAAGTGTTCTTACCTAAGTCATCTTCCATGTAGTATGGGATCGTCTTTGGCCACCTGTACCCATCCCCTATTATGGAATTTCGAGTTTGACTCTGCAGTGGTCAGGCAGAAAGGAACAACATAATCAGAAATACTTTAAAATATGTCAAGCCTGAGCTGTATTCCACAAAATTCAATTGTGCAGGTGAAAATTTGAATCAGTTAAATAAACATACCACACCAAGCACGATATCTCCCTCTACAAGATTCAACCCTGCCTCTATGGAGAACAAGCACAAAGAAAATTGGTTTAAATTTGGTTACTTGAATAACAATCTGGAAACATGAGGAAGAAAAGTGTATTTTCCCCCTTGTTTCTGCGTACCTTCATTGATCTCAAAAATGTCAAGGTCCCGTCCGCCATCCACATCATAGTCTGTGTAAGTGAATGTGAAATAAATATGAAAGAACGTACAACGAAAGCGATAGAAAGGTGAAAGGAACACGTGCACTCTGTGTCTTGGTTGAAAAAAAAATCACCTACCTAATACTTTTGTTGTTGGCTAAACAACAGAGAAATACAAAGGTTATTGATTTGCAAATGTATGAAAATAAAGTTTCATGTTATCACACAGTATATTAACAAAATAAACCAATTCCTCACCAAGCAAAGGGAAGTAGCACTTAAGAGGCATACGATGTTAAGAACAAGTACGTCTGTGGGTTTCTTCCTGCCATGTCCAAAAGTGCCTATGGAAGGGTGCAGGTGACGACTCTTATAGACAGTCAGATAGTCGAAATTAGAAAGGTGCATACAGGGAATAAAATAGAAGTACACATGAACCAAGGTTGATAATTGACAGAGCTGAGTTAATCAACCACTTAAGTCTACTCCACTATCTGCTAACAAATCTTTACACATTTGCAGATAAACCACAGTGAAACACTAAACCAGGAGGCAGCAGAACAGTTCTTTTTTTTTTATTTATCAAACTACAACTTTTATTGATGCACGATAAATCAATACACATTCTTATGGCTGTTTTTTCACTGTAGTAATACAGTGAATAAAGAAAAATGCAGCTTGGGCAGCCCTGTATTGGGCTCTTTAGTTCAAAGCTCATTACAAGCCAATGTTTAGTTTGTCCTTGTGATAGATAACCATTATCTTGGATGCATACTTACATAATTTAAAAAAAACAACAACAAAAAACACCCCGATATTCAGGCTACATTGATTGTTGAATGGCAAGACAGAATGGGATGCTCTTATTGTGGTAACCTTTCTGAGAAACACAAAAGGATTACATCAAAACAGTCACTGTCAACACTGTTCTGGCTCCAGATTTCAACAATTGAACAAAAAAAAGCATGCTGACAATTGCCCACAGTGACAAAGAATCCTGGTGTTTAAACCTTGAAAACTAGCGGATCCAGGCAAGGTGGTTCTTTGTGTTTTTGAAGCTGCGCTAGAAATTTTTATGTCTTGCAACTTTTTCCATAGATTTTTTTAACCTACCAATATTCAGAGACATCTTGCTCATATCTGCAAAGACGTTAAATGTACCATCGCAGTTAAAAATTAGATAAACATAACTTTGTCTTTACTTTTAATTGGACACATCCATAAAACAATTTTAAATAACACTAAACACCGACACTAAGCCCTTCTTTGCAGTTTGGGTTCCACAGTGGTTTGAGGACAATGCTAACATCTCCATATTTGTGTCTCATCCTGCACAATAAATACGCATTCATTCATTTTCTGTGCTGGTTATTCTGTTCAGACTCAACGGCAACTACAGCCTATCTCAACATGCATTAGGGTTGAGGCAACATACACCCTGAACAGACAGGAATGGTCAAACAAATTTACATCTGATTCTCCTAACTTGCACATCTTTGGATTGTAGGAGGAAACACACACAGACCCCAGGAGAACATGTAAACTCCAACCAGGTTATGTTTAACCTTTTTGCTGTGAAGTGTTAATACTAACCACTTCCACGTACTCTTTCAGTGTTGTGCTGTTCAGTACCTTTTTTCAGATGCAGAATACCTCCCTGGACTGGTCATGTCTTAGGCTTTGGTGATTACTTATTGATATTTCTTGTCCTCTGCTTTATATTATTTAAAAGATGGATTCATGAAATAGATGGAACTAATGTAGCTGAACTGATGCAGTTCAGGATTTGGCCATATTTTCCTGTGACTGAGTATCTGCAACATTTTTCAAGGATAAAATTTACTTTCACAGATGAGTCGAGTCATCATATATAGAGTAGGAATCTGTGGCCACTTTTGCGGACAATCTCCATATACAAGCCTCACAACTTGCCTACTTTACTGCTAGCTGCTGAGTTAACTTTAGCTTCACGAAGTGGATTTTGTTTAGCATTATACATTTTTATTGAGTTATGCTTTCTGGTTCTATGCATGAAATATGTAAGACAATATAATATATAACTGGGGGGTTTAATAGAAAGGGATACACTGCTTTGCTTCATGTCCCTCTTTTATATTATTTCTGTGCATATCTATACATTTATTCCTTTTTTATGAAAGACACCTGGATGTTATCTTCCATCACAGGGATTTTACACCACAGCGATAGCGGAAATGTAAATATATCTGCAGTTGTTTAAATCCCCCCCCATTACCTGTCTGTTGTTACTGTTCCACCCTCCTCCTCTCTTTATTAGTGCCGATTAAGTTTTCATGCAGTGTTTCCACCCAAATCCCCCAATAACTAAACAGTTCACATGCATCGTCCACCAAAATACACGAATGGAGAGATGGGAAATCACTGATCTACCATGAACTTTGAGAACATCAGTAATTTCCCCATCTATAAGATCAATACAGTGATTGCACATGACAAAGTAAAACTCACCTGCCTGCCAGTGGTCGGCAATGTCCCACAACTTTACAGTCAGAGGCTCAATGGCTCTGTCAAGCAGTGACGGCTCCAAGAGCAAATTAATGCAAGTTGTTGATAACCTGCAGAACAGGGGCTTTGATATTGAATTGTTTCGACATTAAATGTTAGTCCTCTAACAAGTGTAGTGTTAGGCTTTATGTCACATTATGCTTGAGGCATAATGTGACATAAAACCTTTAGGTTTTGTGACAAGGGACTCTTGATCTCAATAAGTTCCATAAAGCTGAATCAAACGTGGGGCTGACTGATACTGAAAATCAGTGGTGCTGGGCTACACGTGAAAGCAGGTCCGACGGGGCATTTAGGAAACTCAGATTTTCTTGTGTGAATTAGCTACTTTTAAACAATTGAGTATAAGGCACGCCTTAAAACACACTTTGCTATGTCACATCCTGACACTGTCAAACAAACCACTGCTGTTTAGAGATCAAAGTGTTTTTCATTACAATACAACAAGGTAATGCAAAATAACAAAAAAACCCATACACAAACCACAGTAGGTTATAATCCATAAAAATGTATTTTGTAAATTCAATAATGTTTTAGTTTATCAGTCATAATCTGAGCTGGAGATCTGGAGATGGTGTGATGTAGAGATGTAATCTTCAGTACATTAAACTTTTATGGAACACGCTGTGAAAATGATGCATAGCAATAAGGTCAAAAGAAATACATGCAACACATGTTAAATGAAAGACTGGCCATTCTGTTTCAAGTTTTCAATAAATTCCCTTTGAAGTGTCGAAATCAACTATTATTGCTACAACCTAGGGAAACTGTCAGTGAGATTCTGAAGTTATTGCAGTCAGTTTAAGGATAATCTGCTATCGAACATGTTTAAGCTGTATGAATAGGCAATATCATGATACATAAAAATGGAAAACCTGGAAAGAATTGGCCCGAAGTTGAAAAAGTAAGATTCACACCTCAGAGACTGTTTAAAACTAAAGAAACAAGAAAGGGTGAAAAGGCTGATTATACGTTCTTAAATGGGAATCGGATGGATGTCTGATAGATGTAAGTCACTGAACCTCTGCAATGAACTATCTCTGTTGGTGTGCAAATATTTTGTGGCTCTCAGGTTGGCAGTGTTGAAATGGGGTGCAGATATCATGTTTTTGTTGGGTTTTTTTTAAGTGACATCTCAACACATATTTGTTAGTTTATAATGGAATTGGTTCAGACGGTCACTGTTCCCGTCAGGAAGAATTGTAATGACTTTGTTCATTCCCTGACTTTTCAACTAGCACCATCATGACAAAACCAGTACTTTGGTTTAAACGTTAGCAGGCTAACATGCAAAACTAAGATGGTTCATTTTATACTTGCTGAACATCAGCATGCATTTTATCATTCAATCATTGTGAGCCTGTTAGCCAGCTGATGTTAGCATTTGGCCCAAAGCAACGCTGTGCCCAAGTACAGCCTCATAGAACTGAAAGCATTGCTGCAGACTCTTTGTCTTGCTACCTCCACTGATCTTGAATGTCACCTTTTAATGGGGTGTTATTTTCAGCGTCTGATAGGTCCTATGCTTTAATTCTAGTTTTCTTTATAAAAGATATTTTGGTCATTCTCAGCTCATTGAGCTATTGTTTCACATTTTCTTTTAAGGCTTGTTGTATAATTTAATGTGTTTATACAGTATATCTTCCTCTGGATCTATTCAATTTTGAAGGATGCTTGTTGATTGTTTTATGTTATCACAATATAGATTGCTGGAGCTGTATCACTAACTTTTGTAATACAATTTATTAAATAATTAAGCTGCACACAACATACAGTTGGTTTGTGCTCCCATTCCATAAAATTCCAACATGTGAATAGGGAGCCATTTAATGATAGTCTTTAGTGGCTCCTAATCCATTCCACACTGTATAGATCAGCATGCATGCTGTAAATTAAGAACATTTCTCAAAAAGCCCTGGTCATTTTAGGATGGTTCTTTTGTTAGGCAGTAAATGCATTGGTTTACCATAAAAAAAAAATAATAATAATAATAGTGTGGTGCAGAGAAAAACAGGATGAAGATGACATACAGTCAGGAGAAAAAATAAAATAAAATAAAAATCAGCTACACAATATGTATTTGGCTATGGGCACAGCATTGGTTTAATGAAATACATATAGAAGAAAAAACATTAGTCAGTCATTTACACACTGAGGCCGGATTAATTTCTGATATCATAAGGGGCTGTTCAGTCTAAAGTGGGTAGAATATTGCCACAGCAAAGACTGCTCGAACCTGAATAGATTGTTCTAATATGTCTGCGTACAGCTGTATCAAACAGAAAGATGGATTTGAAAATGCAAAACACTTCAGGAGTTGCAGATATGAATACCTGGCATGTCTCGTGACAAGGGCGAAATCTGAGTGAGTGAGTGAAATAGTAAGTGTCTGCGTGTGTGTTATCCAGAATCACCAATGTGAAGCAGTTAACCCAAAGAGAGAAACCAACTAGTGATAGGCCTATGGAGACTGGCTGCTTCTACAAACTCATGGACAAACTCTCAAATAATGAACTTAAATGCAACATGCTGCCAACAATATTGTTATGAGAGTTTTGTTTGAGTAATACATTGTTTCGGCGCTCACCTCAGACCAGCATCTTGTCAGTCCACTTTCTACTGCCTCTTTTGCCTCAAAGGGTCTATCTACAATCTCAGACTACACGGCCAGAATGTATGTGTGCACACTTACACACACGCGGAGTATCTTCTTTTGTTACACCATTATGCTTAGAAAAATGAATGCTGCCTCCACCTGACTGAGTGTAATTAAAAACAGAAAGTGTTTGCCCCATGGCAATTACATGCATGCCTGTGACTTGAGTTTTGTCTTCTTCAAAGTCATGAATAAAAATTAAAAGGAAGTCATTGCAGCCGGTCGTAAAATAGTCCAACACACCCTGCAAAACCACAAGTTTTTGTTTTAAAATTAATTTTTTTGTACGGATTAAACAAAAAAATTAATAAAAAAATAAAGATATGTCTTACTTAACACTGTAAACCCGGATAAGTTCAGAATACTCAAAATATTTGTGGAAACTGATTACCTCAAACTTTTATAGTGGTAATATAATTTGACTAAACACATTTAATTTCTGCATACTAAATTACAGTGATTCACTGATGCTTATTAAAATTGAATTCCACTTATTCTTTACTCAAATAATTGTGCACAACTTGTACTGAGAGAAATCGACTCAAAAAAAAAAAAAAAAGTAATTGTGCTAGACTCAAATACTAATGGAAACTCACTCGACAAAAACTACTAGTAAACTTACAATGTACAAAATGCCCATTTTCAGATAGGAGTCCTCAAAAATACAAATACAACTCCATTATTACAATTCAAGTTCTCTTTATTATCTTCTCACATCTTCCATCATTTCTACATTTAACAGACAAAATAAGGCACATCTTCAACAAAGCTGAATAGACCAAGTAATTAACTGCTTGATCAGATATTAACCAGCAACAATTATTATAATCAATTTGTTTTCCTCCTTTTTTGCAGTAATGTTGAACATTCTCTATTTTCAGAATCTTAATGAGATTTTTTGGGGTCATGTGATAACTTGAATCTCTTGAGCTAAATAAAACTTCCTTTTACTACTTACTTTACTGTGTTTTGTGGAAAGAGTGATTCTGCATAATTTTATTCCACCAGCAGCACTTTTATTTAAATAATATAAAAGGGAGCTTTAAATGTAGAGTTTTATGGAATCATAAGCAAATAAAGATGGCTAATAAAGATTGTTTAAAATAAGAAGTTCCACACTATGCAAACTGTTAAGTCAGGTAGACGAGGTAATGGAACAATAAAGGTTTCTGCAGACTTTGACATGGTCTTTAAAAGTAAGGAATAATAAAATAAATTAAAAATAAATAAAATAAAGAGTTCTGTGTCTTTTTGGTGACTTTATAAAACATATCCTACTGCTGATGGATAAACTCAGGGGAGCAGACAGAGAGGCGGGGAAAGACTGTGTATTTTCAATGAGAGACCAGAGGTAAAGGTGTGTGTGTGATTGAGTACAGGGAGAAGTCGAGGCAGGCGCAAAGCAGGTACATTTACAAATAATTAGTATAGAGAATAATAAGTGATGTCACCCAGTGAGTGAGTGAGTGAGTGAGTGAGTGAGTGAGTGAGTGCCTCCCTCATCTTGTGGACCTCTTCACAGCTGGCCTGAACGGCCAGTTCAGAAGTGCTTTCAGGAGTTTGTACATAAGTTACATTAACATTTAACTGATGCTTTTAGTCAAACATACTTACAATAACTATATGTGTAAGAGGTCGCACGCCCCTGAAGGAACTAGGGCTAAAGTGTTCTGCTCAGAGACACATTGGTGGATGTGTCACAATGGGGAATTAAACCCGGGTCTCTCACACAAAAGGCATGCGTCTTATCCACTGTACCATCACCACCCTCAGAGAAATCGACAAATCTATCCACAGCCACCTTTCACTTCGGCTGAAGCGGACTGCACCAGGTCAGTGTACACAGTGAGGAGTGTCAACAGTGTCTGGTTCACCTTTGCACTGCAAAATACAAACAATCCAATTATGAGGACAATTATAAAAGAAAGCTAGCACTGCATGCTCATCAGTGCCCCCCCCCCCCCACACACACACACTCACACACTTAATAGCATATTTTATTATTTTTTCAAAGCCTGTCTTGATACAATACTCACATGCCAAAATGTTAAGTTACTGGTGGCTGTTCTGTCTATACTGACTAACGCTTTCTTAATCTGACTCAACTTTAAGAGAACGAGGAAAAAATTCTGAAGTTCATTAGAAGATATGAGACTTCAGCAGTTTGACTTAGACAAGCCACAAAACATATCAATTTTAGAAGTTAGCCTTTATGTGTTTACTTGCTGAGCTGCATCAGTGGGATACTTCCTTCCAAACAGTAAACCTACACAATGACCTAACAACAATATCCATTTAATTTTTTTTTAACTAGACTGCTTAAGCCTTATTTAGCTTCAGCTAAACTTAGCCTCATAAAATCTTGTGTCCTCATATGGGGAATTTAGGTTTTGAGATCCATGCACCATATACTTTATTCTGCTCAACTTAGACCTATAGTTCTCCTTAGTGGGCACATGCCAGCCACGTTCTGAAGTCTGTTTCTTTGTTACACATTGGGTACTCATACTCATTTTTTCTAAAAGTATGCCCTGTTCAAAAACAATGCTACTAATATAAATACACAGAATCAAACCCCAGTGGTCTGTACTACGAAGAGAGTTCAACCTACTCAGAGTTAACTCGGGGTTATCAGGAAAGCTCTGACTGCCACACTGGAGTTAAACGGTACTACGAAGATGGATACGATGTTTAGTTCAGTCGGTGTTAACCCAGTGTTAACTTAATTGGAGTTGGTGCGCGTTCGCATCAAAGGGGTGTGTTCGGCCGTACAGGCAGAGTTTTTTTCGCAACGACGCATGCTCCGTATTTCTCTAGAGGAATGCACGTTGGCAGTGTCAGGAAATTATGAATGTAAAGACAAGTTAACGGCTTAATATCGTGGCGGACGACAAAGCCAGGGAGGCTTGTTGGCATCGCATTGAGTAAATTTGTAGCCCAATTATCTAGGTACATTAGGTACACCTGCACATAAGGTCCAATGTAATAAAAATTTTTTTTTTAAAAATCCGTAAAAAGTAATAATCCGAGACAGAATTTAATTTCCAAGATTAATCTACAAGTAAAAGACTTGAATATTCTCTGACATTATAGTCACAGATTTATGAGAGAAACTTCACTTTGCAAGGATGCAACATCACACACACAAACGTCTGCCTTGTAGCGTAGTCGGCCTATGCATGCATTGAAAAGTTATATTAAACTTTGAAATCAGATTTAGCAGTGAAGAAATAGCCTACTCATGAGTTTAGCTCACAATCACTATCATGCACCTTAGAGACTTTGCCTTGGATTCGGCGTATTCAGAAGATCACACCAGAGGGATTTTCGATTTTTTGTGACATTAATTTCAGGGAATTTTCAATTTTTCTTCTGGTAAATTTCACACTTTCATCTATGATCTTTTTGTCGGTTAACCCAGACCCCCTATTTTTTGAAAATGTAATATAGTCAATTTAAATATGTGAAAACACCTAGGAGAAATCAATTATAGACTACAGATGAGCTAGCCTACGTCTAAGAAACTATCCCTTTAATTAAGATTCCTCTCTGAAATCACAGAGGCTGCAGTGCTTGCTGTATGGGCTGTTGGGTTCAGAACGTCTCTGGTTACATATGTAACCCTTGTTCCCCAAGAAGGGGAACGAGACACTGCATCGGTGACGACACTATGGGAACGCCTCTGGGCGTGGCAGGGCTGAAATCATGAATGAAACTACTCCAATCCTATTGGCGTTGCTAGCGTGTGACGGCGTAACTGGAGGCGTATATAAGCACGCCGGCACACCGGACACATTAGGTCTTTGCTATGAAGCAAGGCACTCCAGGCGGGGCGAGGTGTGGCCGACCGACGCAGTGTCTCGTTCCCCTTCTCGGGGAACAAGGGTTACATACGTAACCCGAGAGAGACACTGCGTCGGTGACGATACTATGGGAACGAGAATACCCACTATTCCATGCAGAAGCCCCTGCCTGCCCCCCCAGCGTGCAAAAACCTGTGGGCACGACTAGGAGGAGAGCGCACGGGTGCCGGGTGCAGAAGGAAGGTCCAGACTGTAAAACCGGATGAAAGTGTGAGGAGTGGCCCAGCCAGCTGCCTCTCACAAATCCTGGAGCGAAGCCCCTACGAGGAGGGCCCTAGAGGCCGCCATGCCTCGAGTAGAGTGCGCCCTTACGGCCATAGGTGAAGGTAACCCACGCACCTGATAGTGCCAGGGAAATAGTCTGAACAATCCAGTTGCTGATCGTGTGTTTAGAAGCGGGGAGCCCAGCCTTGGGGGACCCGAAACACACCAGCAACTGGTCTGCTTTCCTCCACCGGGGAGGACCTCAGAGTGTAAATACTCAGTGCTCTGACCAGGCAGAGCAGATGAAGTCTCCCGTCCTCCGCCGCCACATGAGGTGGGGGATGAAATGCCTGCAGCACCGTAGACCCTGCCAACCTGGACGGAACCTTAGGGACATAGCCCGGACAGGGGTGCAGGATGGCTCTGACCCTCCCCGGGGCAAACTCCAGGCATTGAGGAGAAACCGAAAGTGCCTGACTCCAGAGCACTGAGTATTTACACTCCGAGGTCCTCCCGGTGGAGGAAAGCAGACCAGTTGCTGTTGTGTTTCGGGTCTCCCAAGGCTGGGCTCCCCGCTTCTGAACACACGATCAGCAAAAGCATACAGGCGCAGCATTGGCCACGTCCGTACCATGGCATCCAGCCCTAGCGGGGCTGGGGGCGAAAGGGAGAACCACAGGGGACAGTGCGAAGTCTCTCGAGATGCAAACAAGTCCACGTTATGGGTCCGAACCTGTCGCATAATAACTCCAACACCTGGGGGTGGAGTCTCCATTCCCCGGGCCTCAGCCCCCGTCTCGACAGCAGGTCTGCTCCCTGGTTCTGGGTCCCAGGACCAGGGATGTATCCTTATGTATTCTTTCATCTCTTTAAACCTGTCAGTTGCTAGAAGAGGTATTTGAGTTGGTTTTCCATATTACATTTCATCTTACTTGTCGTTGATAGACATTTCTGTGAGTACACTGAGTAGGCCTACTTACATTGCAGGTTTTGAAGACGTCAGTCATCTGCTAGCAGGTTCACTTGGAGGCCACGGAGGGTCGGGTGGCATCCCATGTGTACCTCATATTGTTCCTAGACTGACAATCAAAATAATAATTATTATACAGATATTTTACAGCACATCAAGCCATAAAGTGTAACAGTTCTACCAATGTAATTCTAAAATAATAATAATAATAATAATAATAATAATAATAACAACAACAACAACAACAACAACAACTCCATCCAGCTGCAACTACTAAAGACAAGTCAAATTTAAACAAACACAGTGACTCAAACAAAAGAAGAAATAGAAGCCAACTATAACCTTAAACATCACAATAGAAAGAAGAGATGTGGAAGCCAGTGCAGTAGGGCTGGACCCAAATATTTGACTATTCCTTCATTGGGTTGGTATGCGGTTTTCAATTTTGGGATGCGGAGATTTGCACAAGCGCCTACAGTTCTGTCCCGCACAATGCTGCACACACACCAGCTTGCACCGCCCTTTTCAGTTTCTTTCTTGCTGTATCATACAGTGACACACACATACAGGCTGCTATCTGTCTGCTTTCAACTTTCATTGTCAGCCGTACGTTTTACTGCCCAAAAAACACGTTTTGAACTTTTTCATCCACGATTCTTTGGGAACAACCGCAGGTGTGCTGCTTGTGGAGAAGGCTTATAGTCTCTCTCTGTTTGCTTGCAACTGGCAGTAGACCGTATGGCGACCAATCATGGATGGAGTTGGTCTCTTAGACGGATAGAAAAATAAAAAGTCATGCTCAGCACATAAAATCTGAGCGAAATTGTTGATTTTCTGTCTTGGTTTATGTGTTCAGGGCAGCCCAAGAATTTAAAAATAAGATTGTAAATGGATTTTAAAGTGATTATGTACCAGAAAACGTACAAAAATGAATGCAAATGAGAAATGACAATTGAAAATAAATGGCTCTATCCATCACAAGACAATATCATAATCAAATTTCACTATTATAGTACAGAGGTCCCAATCTGTATTGACTGACCATTATGTGATCAACATTGTTGCTACGGCAAAGGCAATCTTAAACTCACTTGAAGGTCATAAATCCGGAGGATCTCTGCAGGGCGTCTGCTCTCTTGGCCTTCTGCCTGTACAGGGCAATCAGTTGTGGTGTGTATCTCTCAAGCTCCAGTAGAATTGGTTGCATAGGTTCAACATTTGTAAACACATAAATGTATGCAGATTAATGGTTTCCAACTTGGGCCTCAACAGAAAAACATAATGAATCAATTACTTGTTTTAAGCAGGATGGCTGACAAAAAGAATATAGTTTTTACCACTGCATTGACAAGAAAAGAAAATGTAGGGTCATCCTGCAATTTTTTTTTTAACTAACTTGTTCTTTAACCTAACATTTTGCTGCATCAAAGTGAAATATTATGTGGCTATGAATTGAGCTGTGGGCCACCTTGACACCGCTACTCACACCAGTGCGCAGCCACCTAAACACAGCAGAATACACACATCAAACACCACACAATAAAACTAAGTTAAGCATGCGCACACAGCTGTCATACACACCACCACATGCAGTGAAGGGGAAAGGGGTTCTCAAAATCCTCCACCCTGTCTGTCTGGCACAACACTTAAAAGAAGGGGAAATAATGGCCAACAAGCTGAGGGAACTCACACAGCCAAAACAGAGAAAACGGCCACACCCTCAGCAGACCTTAGCAGTTGGCAAAAACATTCACAGGGGCCCATTCACCTATAACAAATCTAATAAAATAAGATTCCACATTAAAAAAAAAAATAAAAAAAAAATAGCAGTTGATCAGGCAGGCAAAACAGCAGTGGCTATACAACCCTAAAATTACAAGAATTTAATTAGTTCAGTTATTTAACACATACTACAAAAACATACCTGCTAAATACCTGACAAATGATATTTACCTCAAACAATGCAGTAAATAGTCAGCCCAGCTTTGACACCACCTCATTTACGGATCAGACGTTTAGGCCTACTGCAATGTAAATCATGTTATCAAAGGCACACAAACTACTAAACTTGCATAGCTCTACTAGATAGCATATTTGTATCTCAGGGTTATCAACCACCAATGCCTTATCTGCGGTGAACTTTAACACAACAGGCTCTTCAGCCGACAAGGTCTGGACAACAGGTGGCTTAAAATGCCTGTGATGAAAACAAATTAAAACATTGTCAGCCTTGACATGACTTCTACAAGACATACCTGCTCTCTAGCCACACTGGAACACAATGCCTACAGAGAGATCCTGAGTGTTCGCTATAAATCAACTCTTAAGGAGGCAAAGGTGTGTGCCTGCTTCTGGAGAGACAGGGGGTGGAGCTTTATTGAGAGGCTGCAACAGACCATGGCCTTACTAGGCTGAAAGCCTGCCTATTACATACATATTCATTATAAAATCTCACAGTCACAGCTGGACTAATGAACTTTTCTAAAACAGTACAATATCCCCCCTGCATCTCAAATCTTAAATAAAAACTGAACATTCCTCACCAACTTTCATTACCACAGTGGAAAATTTTTCCTTTACAAATACATAGTACAGCCACTTCAGATGAGGCAACTTGTGTCTGCAATTGAAGGGCTGAGGGGTTTATTAGGTTCACTGCTGATAAAATGAAACATTCAGCCATACATCAACACTATTTAAGGATACAATCTTACCCGAAATGTCTTTGAAGCTTGAGGAAACTCATTTGAGTGAAGTGTAGGACTAAATCTCAAGTATCAGTCTTAGTACTGATTCACGACACTTTGCTGTGCCTCAAAAAGGATTTTGGATGACGATGTAGCCAAGGACCAATCACATCAAAGAGATTTCCTTATTTAAGAATATTCTCAGATAAATTCACATTGAATGGTGAAACTCCTAAGAGGAGTTTATATTCAACACACATTTAACAATAAAGAATTTTCAAGATAATACATCATAATATAGGCCTACACATTAATAAATGACTACTGGCAACTCCTAACCACTTGAGAGATCTCTAGATGTCTTTTGGGAATTTTGCTTCTTTTGAATATGTGGCTCTTCAGCTGAATTCCTCTTCTCAAGCTATTTTTCTAAATATCTACAGGCCCCCTAAATACTGTGCAAACTTTTTTGATGACTTTGGTGAACTGCTGTCTATAATCTGTATCGACTTTGACTGTGTGGTTATTGTTGGTGATTTTAACATCCATGTTGTCAACCCCCAGGACAGAGGGACTAAAGAACTGTGTTGTGTTCTTGATAATTATGGACTGACCCAACATGTGACGGAGCGCACACACAATAAGGGGCACACTTTGGACTTAGTCATCTCCAAGGGTCTGGACATTTCCAAGGTTGTGGTGACTGATGTTGCTCTCTCTGATCATTCCTGTGTTTTCTTTGAGAGTGCTGTCTGTGTGCACACAAATGTACAAACAGAGGTAATCACAAAACGGCATATCACTGAAAACACTAGTGAAACATTTATTGAGGCTTTCTCCTCGACACCCACCCTCTCACGGGTCTCAGTCAATGAGCTTGTAGATAATTTCAGAAAAAAATCTTCAGGTTCATTATGACATCTATAAAGAGAGACTTCGCATTTATAATTTAGAACTGAGAAATGCAAGGCGGGCCTTCTTCTCTGACATCATCACCAAAAACACTAATAATGCACATGCCCTGTTTGCTACTGTCGACAGGCTAACCAACCCTCCTGTGTCTGTAGCCTCTGAACTTCTATCCACCAGGGCCTGCAATGAATTTGCCTCCTTCTTCACAGGCAAAATTTAAACAATTAGACAAGCAATCAGTGCCTCCATGTAAGTAACAGGTATGTCTTGTCCCTGTGTCCACTTAAAAACAATTCATATAGCATGAAACAATTTGATTCTATTAACCATAAAAACCTGGAGGACATAATACAACATCTGAAATCCTCTTTATGTTGCCTTGATATTCTGCCAACAGGTTTTTTCAAAAATGTTTGTAAATGCATGGCCTCAGATCTACTACAAATTGTCAACATGTCTCTCCTCTCCGTTTTTTCCCCCACAGGCCCTGAAAACTGCAGTCATTAAGCCACTCTTAAAAAAGAGCAATCTAGACAGGTCACTAATGAGCAATTATAGGCCAATATCAAATCTCCCATTTTTAAGTAAAATCATTGAAAAGGCTGTTTTTCAACAGCTTAGTGCTTTCTTGGCACTAAATAACTGTTTTGATGTCTTTAGGTCAGGTTTTCAACCACACCACAGCACTGAGACAGCTCTTGTTAAGGTCTTCAATGACATCCATTTAAACACTGACAGTAGCAGAATTTCAGTCTTAATATTACTGGATCTCAGTGCTGCATTCAACACGGTCGACCACAACATATTACTAGACAGACTTGAAAACTGGGTTGGACTTTCTGGCACAGTACTAAAATGGTTTGAATCCAACTTAAAGGACAGGGACTACTTTGTGTCTATAGGTAATCACACATCTGAGCTAGCAAAAATGATATGTGGAGTTTCCCAAGGCTCCATTCTGGCCTCTTTTGTTTAACATTTACATGCTTCCACTGGCTCAGATTATGAAAAACAACAAAATATGTTACCATAATTATGCAGATGACACACAGATGTACATAACCATTTCACAAGGGGACTATGATCCCATACAGGTGCTGAGTAACTGTATTGAGCAGGTCAACGGCTGGATGTGCCAGAATTTTCTTCAATTGAACAAATATAAAACTGAAGTTATTGTTTTTGGAACCAGGGAGGAACGATTGAAAGTCAGCGCTTGACTTCACTCTGTAATGTTAAGAACCACAAATCAAGCCAGAAAGCTTGGTGTAGTCATGGACTCAGACCTGATTCTGAGGAGCCACATTAAGACAATTACATAGTCAGCCTACTATCACCTGAAGAATATATCAAGGATTAAAAGACTTATGTCTCAACAAGACCTGGAAAAACTTATCCATGCATTTATCTTCAGTCGACTCGACTACTGTAACAGTGTCCTTACAGGGCTCCCTAAGAACTCCATCAGTCAGCTGAAGCTGATTGAGAACGCTGCTGCTCGAGTCCTCACTAAGACAAAAAAGGTGGATCACATCACTCCACTTCCGAGGTCTTTACATTGGCTTCCTGTATGTCAAAGAATTGATTTAAAAAATTCTGCTGTTAGTTTATAAAGTAGTAAATGGTTTAGGGCCAAAATACATTTCTGATCTTCTGCTTCATTACAAACCATCCAGACCTCTCAGGTCGTCTGGGGCAGGTTTGCTTTCTGTCCCTAGAGTCAAATCTAAACAAGGAGAGCGTTCAGTTATTATGCTCCGTATATCTGGAACAAACTCCCAGATAACTGCAGGTCTGCTGAAACTGTCAGTTCTTTTAAATTAAGATTTTTACCATTGCTTTCTTTGTTTTTAGCTTTTTACCATTGCTTTTAATTAAATATTTACATGGAGAGAAATGAGTAGGTAATTGAGTGAAAAGATAATGAGAGTGAGATTGAACAGAGTGAAGGAAGTGGTCTTAAATCTCGCACCTGAGGGATTTGCGTGAACCTCTGTCCACCTGTAAACGTGCAAGTGGGTCCAGAATATAACTGGATCAAAGTGGCCTGTGAACAGACATGTCCTGGTTTCTCTGTAGTGTCCGAGGGTTTTTGGAGTTTCAGTGGACCCAAAGATTACTATGGACCCGAGTACAGACTAGCTAGAGAGAGTAGATTAAGTGTACTTCTCTGTTTATTCTCTTTTCAAAATAATTGTAACTCAGTTATTTGCTCAACCCCTCACTCAGTCAGTTTTTATTTTCCATTTAACTAGTTTAACCCTGATTGTACACTGCACTGTAACTTTTATTATATTTTAAAGTGTATATATCCCTATGTTGCTTTTAAACTTTTTTATATTTCCCTGTTGCTTTTATGTTTTATGTAAAGCACTTTGAATTACCTTGTTGTTGAAATGTGCTATACAGATAAACTTGCCTTGCCTTGCCTATAGGTGGTGGTCTTGACAAACTATTGTTTCTTTTAGGTGATGGGTATTAAATGAGCCCCAGGGCTAAATTATTAAAGATTGTAATGTTGGTATTGATAATGTTATTGAGTGTTGTTAGTTTGATGTAATGCTGCAGCATCTGCCTCATACACACCAAGCAAAGTCAGCAGACCTTGGTGCTGAAAGGGCGGTGGGACCAGTAAAGTGAACCAGGTGGAGTGTATTCCACTTATATTACATCTAGTCATTTAACTCATGCTTTTATCCAAAGAGACTTACACTTGCTATATATGTTAAAGGAGGCATGCCTCTGGAACAACTAGGAGTTAAGTGTCTTGCTCAGTGACACAGTGATGGATGTCTCTCAGTTGAAATCGAATGCAGGTCTCTCACACCAAAGGCATGTGTCTTATCCACTGCTCCACAACCAAAAAGTATGCTCATTACTGCATGTAGACTTATTTAGCAAGTTAAGCTTTTGGGTGTAGTTTAATCAAAATCTTACTCGTTATTCACAGATGTGGTAATAACTATGTTCCAAAAAATGTGGAATTTCATGTCTCTTGCAAAACTTTTACATTTTCCAGCCTACGAAAGCATGTTTTAATCCCTACAGATGTTATTTTTATTTCTAAATGTACCTGCTTTGCACCTGCCTTGACTTCTCCCTGCACTCACTCACATACCTCTGGTCTCTCACTGCAAACACACCGGCTTTCCCCGCCTCTCTCTCTCCCTGTCTGTCTTCTGAGTTTCTCCATAAGCAGTAGGTTATATTTTATAAAGTTGCAGAAAAGACACAGAACTCGTAATTTTTCTGTATTTCCACCCGTGAACCTTTTTCACGGCAGCAAGTGCACCGAATGCCAGCTCTTAATTACATAGCCTATCAGTGTCATCGTCCATCCCAGTGATTCATTGTTGACATCGTCCAATGCCAGAGTGTGAGTGTGTTCTCTAAATTAAATGGAGTTTGGTACAAACAGTAACTGCATTAGTGTAAAGGGCCGACCAGAATCTCGGTAACGACTCAGGGCTAGTTGGTGAACTTATTTAACTGGCGAGCTAAATAATGGCTAACATGCTAATCAGTTTGGCTAGTGCTAAGTAGGGATGGGGATTGAGACCAAAATTTCTCAATCCCCGAAAATCA